TCAGGTTGCTCAGCTTGTGGCAGCCAGGATACAGAGCAGAAGAACAGTGCCAACAATGAAACAGGCCAGGGGCCCTATATAGCAGCGGTATTCAACATTTTTGGCAACAGAGAAGAACTTTGTGCAAAACAACTTTTCCACAAATAGATATGGAGGAGGGTTGGGGATGACTCAAGCATACTACATTTATTTTCCACTTTACATCTATTATTATTATATTATAATATATAATGAAGTAATTATACAACTCACCATAATGCAGAATTGGTGGGAGCCCTGAGCTTGTTTTTCAGCAACTAGATGGTGCCATCTGGGGGTAATGGGAGGCAGTGACCCATAGAATGTGTTGTTTATGTCCTGACTACTTCACATTCTCCTTGTAGTTGCATCCTTGCAGTAAATTCTGCTTCACAAATACAGGATCCTGGAAATGGAAGCAGGATTTTCAGTGCTTTTGTGGCATTAGGATATTCCACCCTGAATCTGTGGAGGTTTGAAGTTGTTTTAAACATACTTTTTAGACCATTTATGATGTCAATCAGTTGATGATCTTCTAGCACAAAGTTGATTCACCTGGCTCATTCACAGATGGGTCTTAGATCCATTCCTGCCAAAGCTTAGGGGCCTTTTGTGGTTAGGGAAATCTTTTGAATATGCTCAAACTGTTTTTAAAGTGGACATAGGAGGGAAAAGGAAAGTCCTGGTTTAGTCTTCTTTAAAGTCTCTGGTAATGTCTCAAACACGTCAAAAAGCTCAATGCTCACTCATCACCCCCATTATTCTAGTTAGGGTTTGAACTTAGCTACTTTGTGAACACAATTGTTATTTGTATTAGTCAGTGTTTACTAGAGTCAGGTGTAGAAGAGTGCAAGAGATCTTTCCATGTACTAGAGATCTGAAGAATCCATCTAAGGGCTTGGATCCCACTGCAATGTCCCACTTGAGTCCAGCTGAGGGTATTGTTCCATGGAAATCCACTTCAAGAGGCCAAGGAATCTGGACTGGAAGACTGAAGGACCTCTGCCAGAAAGTCCTACGGCCAGTGCCAGAGGTGAGATGGTCTGTGCCAGTAGTTTAAAAGCCCAATGCTGGAATCAGAAAAAAAAAAAATGTGGAGAAGCAGTAGAGGACACCCAAGGTAAAGGCAAAGACCAGAACTCCAAGCCAAAGTCTCTGTGCCAAAGGCAAAAAGATGATGCTCAAAGGAGAAAGCAAGGACCAGAGCTCCTCCCAAGAGAACAACAGCTGCCTTTTGCAAAGGCAAAGACCAGAGCTCAGCTGAGGAGAACAGCAGAAGCTTCTCCAAGGGAAATCATTGTAAAATCTTCCCCTCCTGTTCTCCTTTTATACCATTCTCTAGATCCCAGCTAACTCAATTTGGCTGGGCCTTTCCACTCAAGTTGACCATTAATTAACCACCATGTCATTCTTCTCTGAAGTAACAGATTTTGTTCACTGAACAATTTGAATATGTCTCAAGAGGAAGCAAGTTTTGTGGCCCATTCTATGTCACTGAAATGTGTTTCTAATGGTGACTATTTTTCTAAAAAACATCTCTGGAGTGGCTTGTGTAATTGAAAAATGGTAATCAGTAATCTACCTTTGGAAAGCCAGCTCACCCATGTATAAGAGAAGGCACATGTGCTATACATTCAACTTCTCATAGAGCTGCATGAACAGACATAAATTAAAGGCATATATTTTAATGTGGTTGATAAATCAAATCATATCCAGCAAAATATTGTTAACCTCAGGTGTCAGGTTTTGGCCAGAAAACATTTCTATATGAGTGACACAGTGCCCATTCTTACATTTAAAAGCAACCTCTTAGACATGAATAGTGAAACCATAAAAACTTCTACACATGGTAGTTGCTTCATCTGTACATACACCAACTCAAAAGGACCAATTCAGATTTCCCAACATATATTTATTCAATGACTTGAATAGTTCAGTAACTGAGATTTTGGCAACAGTAGTCGTATTGTCATCCTCCTGAAAACTATATCATTCAAAAACAAGTATTGTTGTCAATATCAGTAGACTCATCAACCTAAATTGCTTGCCACAGTGACTCATTAATCCTCTTAAATAATTTGCCTCAGTATCCTCTACTTTTTCAACTTGTCTAGTTATGGTGCTTGCTGGAGGAAAACACATGCCACTTTTTGAAACACAGCTTCAAAAAGTTCACTAAATGTCCATAGAAGTAGGCAGGATCAACTCTTCACAAATACAGGGCTTCTTAGTTTTAACAATGCAGCTAGCCACTAAGAATGATGCTCTTGGTGCAGATACACTTAATGAACTGGTGACCCTCAATAATTCTGTTTTTCCTTTGTGTTCACTTTGAAGAAGGGAAAAACCTCCAAAGACTTGTCATTCAATGAAGAGTGCTTATTCTCTATGTGGGAAAGCAGTTTGGAAGGATTAATGGCTTTGTTCAATAATCAGTCACCACATATTATAGAATGTTAGTTTCATAAAAGTGAATCACCTATTTCAATAAACCTGTAATTTAAGTAAGGCCTTTGGCATTTTCTTTGAAATACCACTTTCTTTTTGTTGTTAGTCTCAGAGTCTCCTGCTACCTCATCAAGTCTTTTTTTTTCTCCTTTTCAAAGAAGCTTTTCAGTGATGTTTGTTTTATACTCATTTTGACTGAGATTAGCTTCTGGGCTCACCAAAACTGTGACTGAGGTGTGTGTATCATAAGAAAGAGGAGCAGATGAAATGGTAAATAAAATAATGGATGGGCCACAGAAGATTAAAATAAGTGTTGGGATCCTGGGAGACTTGTAAGATTCAAGTCATAGAACATCCTAAACTGATTGTTAGTTTTAAGAAGAGGAAAGGGAACCCGAAGAGACACACCAGAAATTCATGATATAGGAAAGGCTACCTGAGATACAAAGAGAAGATGGTTCTCTGCAAACTGAGAATACAGGTTCAGGGAGACATCAAACTTGACAACATCATCATAGTAAGCTCCTGACCTCTAGAATGATGAAAAAATGGGTTTCTGTTACTTAAGACACCCAATCTACAGTATTTTGCTATGGAAGTTTCAGCAAAGTAATATACAAGGACTTTGCAATTGGATTAAAGAGCTTCTGATTCATAGGTTAGCAGGGACCATTGTGTGGATTCAGTATAATCACTGCTGCTCTTCCAAGCAGAAAGAAAAGGTTAGAATCAGAGAGAAGCTATGAATGGTGCAGAGCACAGATGCACAATGTGATGAACTTTGGAAAGGAAAGAAGGTGCCATGGGCCAAGGAGTAGAGGTCGCCTCTGGAAGCTGGAAATATCAAGGATGAATTCACCTCCAGAACCTCTCTACAAGAAATACAATCTGCTAACATCTTGACTTTAGACTGTAAAATACAGTTCAGACTTTTGATCTTCATAAATATAATCTACTTGTGTTGTGAAATCCACAAATGTTGTGTTAATTTGTTATAGTAACAATAGGAAAATATAATCTCCAAAATCAAGGATAAAATTATTTTAGCAATTACCATTGAAAATATTATTTGTAGTTTAGAGAATAAATTTCTTTAATTAAAGCAAGTAAAAATTTATGCACTATTTGTAGCGTCCTACGTTTTTCCACAAGGAATATGTCATATAAAACACTTAGTATTCATGAACAGTTACATCATATTATTCATGAGTTTACAGAGCTTCTTAAAAGTTACCTGAAGGTAGTATCAATAAATTTTGTCAGCATTTTAACATTTTATAGCATCATGTTGAAATCAAGAGAAGTATAAAACGTTCAATAGAAGGTCATGACCATCATTTCTAAAAAACAAAAAGAACAGTTAAAAAGTTGTAAGTTATAGTTGGATCTATTGCAAAAGTTGCAAATCTTTAAAAAAAATTTTCCAACTTGAAAGAATATCCAACATTGAAGATAATTTGAATAACTTTACAAGATTTTAATGATACTAGAAAACAATATTTAACTTTGTAGTGTCTGACTCTGATACACAGGAAACTTTTAGGCAATAAATGATCTGATGAATAAATTATTTTATATGTTAATATTAAAATTGAATACATTATACTTTAATATGCTAAAATTGAATATATGCTAAAAAATTTTCTCATGCTGCTATATTATTTAGCTTATATTTCTTGACCCTTACATATTTTATTTTTCAATATTTAACATTGTTAACTTAAAACTCAATTTAACAAGTTCCAACTGAGGTACTGTACTGTGAGGTCTGTGTTAATAGTGAAAGATATTGTTATGGTTTGTGTTTAGATGTCCTCCAGGGGCTCATGTGGTCATAGATTGAACTTTTTCAGAGGTGGCTGGATCTAGGGTGTGTGAATGATTCATGGTGCAATGCTGGGAAGGCATTAGGATTAAGGGGCACTAGGATTAAAGGTGTGAGTTCTACCCACTCAAAAAGGCTGTTTTTGCTATCTCTGCCTGCAATAAACACTTTCTCCTCTGTGATGCCTCTCTGGCATGTGCTACTCTGACTTGGAGCCAGCCAACTATGGACTGAAACCTCTACAAACTGTAAGCCAAATAAACCTTTTTATCCTTTAACTTTGAGTAGCAGGTATTTGGTCTCAGCAGTGAGAGAAAGGTAACTAAGACACATATTGTGAGACTGAACAGTTACTCCATTTTGTAATAGGTCCCCAACTTGTCTGCTTCTGTTACGGATCACCAGGTAGACATCGAGTTCCAGGGATGTGCTTGTTATTGTGCCAGGAAGGTCTGTTGTGTGTGTAGTGTTCCATCATGGTTGCCCAACTCCATATCTGAATTTGTTATCTTAAGGACAATCTGTAAAAGGTCTGATTTATCTCTCTCCTCCACTTTTGTGTTTCTGCTTGCCAACTTCCCCTGCAACCCCCTATAAAAACAGCCTCGGACTCTGAGCCAGTTGCCTCTCTAAGCTTGGAGCTTGGAGACTGCCGTCTGGCCAGACTAATAAAGGTCTGTTTTACTTTAACAACTTGTCCGGTGTGTTCCCTCCCAGGTGATCTTCACTGTAGTCAGCTCCTCAGAGCATTTGGTGAGACACACGGTCTTACATTCTGGAGGGCCCAGCGAGATCCCTGGGTAGGAACCCCCGGTTCGACTGAGACTCCATGGGATCCGGCAGGAGACTCTCAGGCACAGACCTCAGAAAACCTCAGGAGGTAAGCTTTCAGCCAGTTGCAACCATTTGTTAAGTCAGGCATGAGGTGGCTAATGAGCCAGGAAGCCTCCCCTGACCCTGAGGTTCCTGAGGAGGAACAAGGGAAGATTTAGTTTCATTTTGCCATGGCGCCTGTTTGTCTTGTCTTTTGTATGTTAATGTTGTATCTGTTGTGCGTTTGATTTTACATTTTTTTTTCCAATCCTCATTAGGAGCAGAGTAATGGGAGGAACCTGTTCTACCGGGTCCACTCCACTTGACTGCTTTCTCACTAATTTTAAATTGGTTTTTTCTCCAGAACAAGAAGATGAATATGGGGTGAAATTTTCTTGTGGAAATCTCCGCTCCCCGTGCCAACTGGAATGGCCAGCTTTCTGGGAGGGATGGCCAGCCAAAGGGACTTTTGACCCCAGTGTTTGCCGGGTGGTTTGGGGCAAAGTCACTGGTCACCCTGGCCACCCGGACCAATTTCCCTACATAGACACCTGGGTTCACAGGCTTGTGAGAAACCTCCGGCTTGGCTGCAGCGCTGTTCCCTCCAAACAGGCACTCGCATTTTAGTTGCTGCCCCGAAAGGGCCCCGGGAACTTAAACCCCGGGCTCCTAAACCAGTTCTCTTGCAGGAATCTGACACCCTGGATCCCTTAGGAGGGCCTCTGCCCTATATGGAATCCTCCACCCCCTCAGATGGCTCCCGCTCTAGACCCCACAATCCTTCCCTTCTTCCATCTGTTCAACTTTCGGCTCCTACTCCTCTCTATCCTCCTCTCCCTGAGGGACCCCAGTCCCGGAACTCTGTGACTTCTCCCCCGCACATGCGATCTGGGGCTGCGTATGGACCTTGCAAGGTCCCCACTGGAGAAATTAGTTCAGCCCCTCTCTTGTCCCTTCGGGAAACAGAACAAGGTCACTATATTTATATCCCCTTCACTACCAGTGACTTATATAATTGGAAACATCAAAATCCTCCCTTCTCAGAGAAGCCCCAAGCCCTAATATCTCTCCTAGAATCTATCTTCCATACCCATGATCCTACTTTGGATGACTGCCAACAACTCCTCCAGGCCCTTTTTACCTCAGAGGAGAGGGAAAGGATCTGGGAACAAGCTGTGAGGTTGGTACTAGGTTGATTGGAAGGCCCCCTAGATGACCAACAGTGAGCCCATCTGGAAGCACAGTTCCCATCCACCTGACCCCGCTGGCAAACTAGTACCTTGGGCAGGAGAGAAGCTCTCCAAAACTATTGTCAGCATCTCCTGGCCAGCCTGAGGGGAGCCGCTTGGAAGGTTACCAATTTGAGCAAGGTAAGTGAGGTCCTTCAAGGACCAGAGGGATCCCCTTCTGCCTTTTTGGAGCATCTATTGGAAGCATACTGTACATATACTCCAATTGATCCAGATGCCCCTGCAAATCAGCAGGCAATAAATTTGGCATTTGTTACCCAGTCAGCCCCAGACATTAGAAAGAAGCTGCAAAGACTAGAAGGATTTGAGGGAGAGGATAGAGAAAAGTTGATGAGTGTAACCATGAAGGCATTTAACAATAGAGATCCCCCAGAAGAGAGGATGGCCAAGGGGCTGGGAAAAGTGACCATAGCCACCTTGGCTGATGGAGGATTTGTCCAGAAAGAAAGACTCAAAAATAAGGGAGGGAGCAAGGGAAGGATTTGACCCCTATTAGAGAAAGATCAATGTGCCTATTGTAAGGAAAAGGACCATTTTGAGAAGGACTGTGAAAAACTAAAAAGAAAAAGAAAAAAGGAGGCCCAAAAGGAAAAAGGTGGAATCCTCTTAGTAGATGAAGAAGAGTGACGGGGCCAAGGCTCATGGCTGCTTAACCCTAGTGAGCCTATGGTGACTTTGGAGATAGGGGGAACAGATGTTCTGTTCCTTGTGGACACTGGTGCAGCCCACTCTGTCTTGAAGACCCCCCCTTGGACCCCTCACTTCCTCAAAAACCTCCATTGCTGGAGCCACTGGGAAAGTGGCCTCCTACCCTTGGACCACTAGACAGACTGTGAATCTAGGAAAAGGCACCATCTCCCATTCCTTCTTAGTTATCCCTGAGTGCCCATACCCATTGCTGGGAAGAGACTTGCTACAAAAGTTGGGGGCTATTATTTCCTTTGAGCCTGAAAGAGGGACCTTTGAGCTTAAGCCACCCTCTGCCATTATGGTGATGGTTCCCCTAGAAGATGAATCTAGATTGCTAAGGGAGGGTGCAGAGCCCCCCAAACAAAAATGGGACTACCTTCAGAAAAAGTTTCCCAGGGTATGGGCTGAAACCAATCCACCTGGGCTGGCCAACCACCATGCCTTGGTGGTGGTCTGGTTGCTGGCCTCTGCTGCCCCCATCCATGTGTTACAATACCCCCTCTGGCTGGAGGCCAAAGTAGGAATCTCTAAGCACATCCACCGATTCCAAGAGGCCAGTATATTGGTCTCTTTCTGTAGGGGACAGGGGAAGGGGACGTTACCAGAACCTCTGCAGTTAGTCCTGGTCTCCTGCGAGCCACGGCAGCACACGGCGAATTACAGGAAAGGTAGAAAAATGAGACCGAGAAGAAGCTGAGCTTT